GCCCTGAACTCCACGGAATATGTCTCCGGCTACACTTCACATCAATGGGCCTTCGGCAAGGACCACAGCCTGCTGGATGAAGACTACATGACCTTCAACCAGATCAAGGACAAACTATCATACTCCAAACTGGTGTCAGCCCGACATCAGGCTGAGCAAGTCGCTCGCAAGCATCGAGCTGGACGCATCTTGATGCGGCTCTCCAACTCCAAGGCACGGCAACCTCTTAGAGACTACAAGTGCACCGATCTTGTGAAGATCTGGCGTCGAGCTCATCCTGAACTTGAAGGACCACGTGGTGGAAGGAGGAAAAGTCAGAGACCTGGATGGATCGGCCCTGGACGGGTCATCTTCTCCGAGGCATTGCCACATCAAGATCCTCAAGATCACCGAAGGCATGTGGTGTGGGTTCTCATGCAGGGCAAACTCTTTCGCTCCTCTGCTCTGAGTGTTCGTCCTGTCACTGAACCTGAACGTCTTCGATGGGAGGTGACATCCAAGGAAGACATCAGCCAATGGAAGACTCTGGCCGACATCATGCCAAAGAAAGAGTACCAGGACCTCACTGATGAGATTCCTGCCGAGAACGAGCCAGAACATCCCAATCTTCCTTGGTATCCTGATTCCACCACATATGCTCCTATCAGGCGTCAGACCACCAAGTCAACACTGGCACCCGAAGACTATCGTGTGGTTCATCGATCATCTCCACTTGGACTTGAAAAGAAGAGCATCGTACCTCTTGGATTTGATCGGCCTTTGGACTCGAGGCCCAGCTCTTCGGCAGGTCTTGACTCTGGACTTCCTGGACCTGCTGCGTCTGGACTTGGCGCAGGAGATGATCAACATCCTCCTGGACTTGGAGATGATGAGGTGTCGGTCAATGAATATGAACCCACCGAGCCAGACATTGCTCGAGAACCGGCGTCCAAGAGAGCTCGTGGTGAAGAAGATGATCTACTACATCTCTCATGGGTGGAAAAGCTGCAAGATGATGCAGCTCTTGAGGAACAAGCCTTTAGCTTGGATCAACTCGTGAAGGAGAATGAGGACATCCTGACTGTCACCTTTGAGGTAGAGGCAACATCACATCGTCAACGCAAGTTCCTCGAGAGAAACCCTGTGGCCTACATGATCAAAAAGATGAACTCCTCTGAGGTCAACATGTCCAAGTTGACACCGGCCTTGCAACGACTCTTCACTCATGCCAAGAACAAAGAAGTCTCAAGCTTCATCAAGAATGAGGCGGTGAGGAAATGTCTCTCATCAGAGGAGATCAAGCAGGCCTATGACAGCAACCGCATCCTGAAGGCCAGATGGATCCTTGTATGGAAAGCCATCCCGGAGGAGGAACGTCAAGAAGCCTTGGATGACTTGGCCAACAACCCCTGCACAACCGTGACGCCAGATGCCAGGCGAAAAGCCAAGGCCAGGATCGTTTTGTTGGGCTTCCAACATCCCAGCCTCCTCGATCGCTCCTTCAAGACATCGGCTCCTGTCACTTCCATGATTGGTCGCAACATCATCTACCTGCTTGCCAGCCATCATCAATGGGAATTGGAAGGCCTAGATTTGGCCACAGCGTTCCTGCAAACTCAACCCACTGAAGCAGATGCCAATCTCTGGACGACAGGTGTGGCTGAGCTTCGTGAGGCCTTGGGAGTGGGTCAAGAAGGCATCCTCAAAGTTCTTCGAAACATTTACGGCAGTACCACCGCTCCACGTGGTCTTTGGCTGGACCTTCATCGCACTCTGGTCAAGCTGGGTGGTCAAGCTGTTCTTGGAGAGCGCTCATTTTTTAATGATACGGCGACCACCGAGACAGATGTCACTGGCAGATATCCCAAGTTGCTGGGATGCATGGGAGGACACGTCGACGACTTCAACCGCATTGGTGACAACACCTCCCAGGAGTGGCGAGAGATATGCACTCGCATCGATGCTGCATACAAGTGGGGCACTGCTCGCCGTCGTGACTACAGGCATGCAGGCACTGATGTTCGCACCAAGCCCTATAAGGACGGCAAGTTCATGGTGACTGTGCATCAAGATGCCTATGTGGAGGCACTGCCGGACCTGGACATACCTGCTGAAAGACTTCGGCAGGAAGGAAAGCTCACACCACGAGAAGTGGCTGCTTGTCGCACAACCCTTGGAGGTCTTCAATGGCTCGCCATCCAGACTCAACCTCTCCTTTGCTCTCGGTGCAACATCCTGCTCACTGAAGTCACGGTGAATGGTACCTTGTCTGAAGCAAGAGAGATCCAAGCTATGGTTGGTGAAGTCCGGCGACAACCCTCTCACTTGCGCTTCTTCCCCTTGGACGGCGCCAAGAAATGGAATGACATCGTCTTCATCTCCATGGGCGACCAAGCACACGCAAACAGGCCAAAGGGTGACAGCACAGGAGGAATGCTGACGATGGCCGCAGGCCCTGCGTGTCTTTCTGGCCAGGTCACTCCTATGTGCCTGCTGAGCTGGAGGAGCTGGAAGCTGCGTCGGAAAAGCATCGGATCAAATGACGCTGAAGTCCAGAGCATCTTAGAGGCCGAGGACCAAAACTTTCGAGTGAGAGTGCTTTGGACAGACCTTCACACCGGCGGTCGACGACCTCAACTCGATCGCACTGGTCTGGTGCAGGCGGTGGAGAAGCAAGTGCTGGAAGTGCGTGGAATCCTGTGCACGGATTCGAGAGGAGGGTTCGACGCCATAGAGGTCAACGAATCCCCGCTGTTGGGGCTATCCAACTTTCGGTCCGCCCTTCAGGCATTTCAATTGAGAGACAACCTGGACCGTGTTGGCTGTGAGCTCAGATGGGTGGCATCTGATTACGACTTGGCCGACGGCCTAACAAAGAAGCGGCCGGACAGTCGTGTCAGCTTGGAAAAGTTCATGACCATTTGGCGATGGTCAGTGGCATTCGACCACAACTTCGTGGCAGCCAAGAAGAACAAGAAAGCTGGCAAGTCCGCAGTGGCCCACATGGATGACTCGCTAGGTGATGAAGGACACCACGACTTCTGGGAGTCCATGCAGGGCAAGTTCATGGAGCTTGCAATCATTGCCAGAGACCTACCAGGTCACGAGCTTCTGAGTGAGGCACATGGTGATCACCTGACTTCCTTTTGTCCTGGTGCAGCTTTGGGACATGTATCAGGTGCCACCATGTTTTCTTCATGTGCATATGGCCCAAACCAGGGGGCCCCCTTTTGATCCACGGATCGTTCGGCTGGAACCCAGCCATGGTGGCTACACAGGCCTAGGAGGCCTTTCGACGGCACTTGAGAAAAGGTGCTCCGGATCATTGCGATCCTTGGTTGGGTGGGCTCGCTTCGTGTTCGCTACCACCACCTACCTTGTTAGCCCGCTACGCTACCAGTGCAGCTACCTCCGCTGCAGATACCCTTACGGCACTTCGACTTAGAATAAGTGCAACAGATGTTTGGTTTTCTGCATATCTGCATATTTACTGGGATTTGTGACAGATGGGAATCGCGGTTTACTTGTTTCCCCGGGTGTCTGCATAGGTGTGGGCTTTTTGGTGATGATGGAAAACCCAAAGAACTTCTCTAATTTCTGCTTTTGAACTTGTGATGTGATGTCGTTCTCTGTGGCTCAGGGCTGTGTGGACAGCTCTTGCATGCCTGCCGGTGAAGGAACACGGTGTATATTATAGTATATATACATTGATATTTGTGTGCTTTCGTATTTATATATATACATTATAATATGTGTATATAGTCACGGACTGAAACTTAGAATGCCCGTGTGGATGGGCTCCTTAAAATAAGATAAATTAAGATAATAAAGAACATTGCCTATTAGAATGCCCACCACGCGGTGCAAGGAGATAGAATGCCTCAAACCTATCCTGGATGAGTGATGCGACAACCTCTTTTCCTTGCTGGTGTGGAGCCGGTGATCTTCATTGAGAGTTCTTATTGGTTTCCATTTGACTTCTATTGATTTTCTCTTGATTTCCCATTGATTTCCTTTGATTCCTATTGATTTCTTTCTGATTTCCCATTGTTTTCCTTCTGATTCCTATTGCTTTCCTTTGGGGTCCCCTTGATTTCCTTTTGATTCCTGTTGATTTCCCATTGATTCCTTCTGATGTCCTTTTGAGTTCCCAGTGTTTTCCTTTTATTCCTTTTGATGTCCTTTAGATTCCTATTGACTTCCTTTTGATTTCTTATTGCCTTTTTTGGTTTCTATTGAGAACCTCTATTTTTGTGACAACATGTTAAACCGTCGTTTTTAGGAATAAATATCGGACTGGAACTTAGAATGCTGCGGGCATTCTAAGACGGAGATGCATTCTATGCGTTTGGAACTCAAACAGGCATTCTAAGTTCTACTATCTTACTATATAGAGCAAGTGTTTTCTCAGAAAAAAAAGGGGCGGACTGTTGTAAAAGTTGTCGGAATCTTGTTCTACTGTTCCTGGAAGGGCCCTGCTGGCCAGTTTGCACTGGCCAGATCGAGTTGTGGCTTAGTTCGGAGGATTGCTTGAAACAGGGAAACTGAGCGCTTCAGACAGATCTGAAATGCTCAGTAACAACGATTTGGTCTATACATTCAGGATTCTTCCAGGGACTAGACCAATTATAGCTCCTAAGCAAAAAACATGGAACGTAATAAAACATATGGTAATGTATTGTGTATATCCATTGCACTCACTATCTTCATACATCTTCATACTTAACATCAGTTCTTTCAACATCCCCATCACCTGAGCCTGTTCGCCAGCTTGAGTCCTCTCTCCGGCACCCACGCGCCTTTCGCCCGTTTGAGCCCCTTCCGACTCCCCCATCATCGGCTGGGCTCGGCGGAGATATGAGATTGGATGAGATTGGTTTCTATTTTCCCTGTTGACCTACCTGCCCATCTCAAACACAGGAAATCAAAAGGGATGTGACAGGCTGTGACAGGAAACCAGAGGTCGATCCAACCGGGATCGGTGGAATCCGCTCCGGAGCACCCCGAACTGGTGACTGGAGGTCCACGGTGGAAGTGGAACGGCGCGGCTTCGTGCTGCCGCAAGCAAGCGCCTGGGTCCAGGCAAGAACCGGACCTGGGTCCAGCCTGTCGTGGGTGGGTGGGGCGAGGCTTCGACATTCATCGTCCTTGATCGATGTTGTTCGATCCTTGTTATATCAGATTAAGCGCTTCATTGAATCTCGTTCATCTACATCCAATAACAAAACAATATGTCTTGCTGTGTCAGATTCCGAACGAAGGTTCTCGCGGTGTCAACATGGCAACCTCCAGCAGGCCACTCCCAAGCTTCGTCTACCAAGAGATGATCCAGAAATCCAAACTATATAGGAGACTTGTTCCGTTAAAGTCGGTTCTTTGAGTTTCCCGAGAGGACCTCTTTTGGGGGGTCTCCCTGTTGGAATGCACACCCTCCAGGGCGACCTCTTTCGCCCAGGGCGATGTCTTCCTTGGCGATGTTCCACCGCCGATCGCTTCGCGCTTTGCCGCCGTGGTGATGGATCCGCCTTGGGAAAGCAAAAGCCGAGGCCACGGTGTTCAACACGCTGTTCGCCTTGGGCCGCCGTGCCCCTGCCTTTCCCACATAATCATTCAACAAACTTTCGGTGTAAGCCGACCTTGCCTGACATGGTGGGGGAACTGGCGATACGGTTGTACTTTGGTTGGTGATGTTTGCTAGGGTGAGCAGTTGGTCTCAATATAGTAAAACATGGTCTTTTACCTCCTACCACACAGAGGGCCAGTGAAGGTTGTGACGTTTTGTGGCTGTCCTGAGCTATGTGTTTCTAGTTGTTTTCGTCTCAAAGAAGAACAGCATCCGAGTTAAGCGATTGTTTGGGGATTCATCTCATTTAGCAGGGGTCAAAGCAGTCCAAGTCACCAACAAGATCTCCTACTCCATCCTTCAGCGACATGCGCATGGTTTTTTCTTTGTTGGGCATCCCCACACCCCGCACTCCCCAACAATGTTGTTTCGTTAAAAAGTCCCTTTATACTGTATAATAGACGATTTCTCTGGGGATGCCAGTTTTCGGTTGGACGACTAAAGCTGTCATAGCAGTCCAAAGCTGTCATTTCATTAACCGTGAGCCCACAGAATCCACAAGTTCATCTAGGTCACCATGTGATTTCAAAAACCAATGGTAACCATAAAGGGTCCAGTTGGGGACTATTGAAATGCAAAAGACCCGTGGTTGGTCACCATTTTATAGGGGCCATTTGAGAGTTATGGGTTCCTCTTTTCTTTTCAAAAGCGCTGGTTGAAGTGCTCGATGTGAAGGCGTGCGCTACGCCTCTTGCCGGCCCATACAGCTCAAAGAGATCCCCCTCGCACAGTTGAGGCCCAGCCGCGCTTAAGCTGACCAGGGTTGGGAAACATCTGCCAGCTTCGATGAAACCCACAGTCCACCGCAGTACTCGGCGTTGACCCTGGACAAAATCTCCTGAGCATATTTGGCGGAGTGTTTTTTTTGTTTTAAGCATGTGTCAAGAGTTAGTATTCTTTCCTGTTCTCGCAAAGGAGTCTGAGCAAAGCAAGAGTCTGTCTCACGTTGTCGATTCAGTCCTTGCTGCATTTGGATGCATTTGGTATTTGTTGAGGGCTTTCCACATCGTCAGAAGGGGGACTGACCCTCCAACCCCCAACCCTGGATCTCTATCAAACCTTTGTGAACAAGGGCAATTACAATATATCATCAAGCATTCATTTAACTTTGTTTTGGCCTTTTGGAACTGGAAACTAGGCCCTGTTCCGCTTCCATGTCCTTGAAGAAAGAGTCATAGCCGTTGTGAACTAGGGGTGGTAGCCAGTGGTAGGCCAACAGTTGCATTCTGTCTAGTTCCCTGAAGCCTATCATGTCAGAAGCCTAGAAGCCAGCGTTGCGTGCAACTTCTTGGTTGTCTCAGGAAGTGAAGCAAGTTTGGGTTTGGAGTGAAAAAGAATGTGCCCATCCTCCACCCAAGCATACCTAAGCCCTCCTCAGCCAGTCTGCTCCAAAGGAGTCTCCAATCCGCCTGAGGTTGTCTCCTGAAGGAATGTTGGCAGTTTGGGCCCCTCGAAATTAAGAAGGGACTGGCGACCTGGGTGCACAAGTGGGCGGACATTAAGTATAGGTCCATGTTCCTGGCGGTTTCGCAGGGGAGAACGTGCGGATTGGCAACGCATTGACTGCCGGGCCCAAATGGAATACACGGAAACTAACAGGTGATGGGCAGTGTGATGGGCCTTTTCGGTGCCCGCCACGTGATGGCCACGGAACAGGAACCCTGGAGAACCGTCTCAAAACAGGTGCATGTCTCGGAGACGTGTTTCTTTTCGGGTGTTTTTGCTTCTCACTTCGAAACGTGGCAGGGTTCCATCGATCGTCCCACTCGTCGTCTTCCTTTTTGTGCCATGGACCGATCCCGCGAAAAAGGTAAACATGATTCACATCATATTCCAGAGGCGACTAATGGGACTGCCATATATATGCCTGGCCTACATTGACGCCCCTTGGCACCACCCCAACTGATCGGCATATATTCCATGGAGCGTCTGGGTATGTCCCTATCCCGATCCTGTTCACAGAACTCGGACCCCAAGCTTTCCTTCTGTGGAAGTGGTCCAAGTGCGGCTCAGGTGACCAATGATCCTAAGAAACAGGCGGGGTGTGAGGGAAGCTGAGCCACAAGAGACATGAAGAGAAGGCTTCGAGGCCATGCCATCGCTAGTAGCTTGGAGGCCATTACTACTAGTAACAAGAAGCTATATGAAGCTACCCCATGGGATTCCAAGATCTCACGAGGCCTTTGTCCTGGAAGATCTCTTCCCACACTGGGGCCTGCGCCACACCAGCACTTGGACGTGGCTGAAGGTCCAGGCCCTCGGTGGCCCGATTCGGTCCCGAAACCGTGCTGAAAAGGAGAACCTCGTCGTGGTGAATCATTCTCTAGTTGTTTGATTCTAGCAGGTAATACCAGCTATACCTGCGACCCATACAAATTTGTATGAATTCAGCAATATTGCTCTGCAAATGTCCACGTTTCTGGTGTAGCTGTATTGTTTTTGTTGGTTTGGTTCGGCTCCCCAAACCCCCGAAACAAAGAACCATGCAACGCTGATTGGCATATTTGACGATATGTGTTGATATGGAATTGAAGCAACAACACCTGGTGTACATGAGAACATTAATACCAAAGCTGTTCCAGCCGCCTTGATTTGCACCTGAAAGCCCAAATAACCAGAAAGAGATTGATGCTTCCCCAAACAGCAATTTCCTATGTAAAGGATCTCAAGCCATATTGGAACAACATGGAACCACCATTTGTTTCTGCTTGTTCTGGTTCCCAGGCATTATTTGACATTGAACTTCTGCAAGGAAACGTGACCTGTCGCTAGGGTCGAAGTCACCATGGCCAGCGCAGTAAGGAGAGTATAACATAGACCTGGAACCAAAACCCTGAAGCAAGGAAATCATGGTGGTCATTAGTCATTTCCCTGGCCGCGAGCCACTTTGACCGAGGAAATGCTGTGTTTTTTTGTGAATGGAACCTAGTGGAAACCAACCACTCCACGTCACTCTTGAGACAAAAAGGCACTGGAATCACGCTTATCGTTGCGCGCTGAGATAGAAGTAGGATTCACACGTCCAAGCGGAACAGAGAGCTCAGAACGAATCTGGGACATTCTGGGACATGAAGTGGGCAGTGCCCTGCAGGATTGAGAGTTCTCCAGATTCAAATCCTTTATTTGATGAGGGTGAGTCTGATTTTTCTTGTGTTTACCAGTAACAAGAAGGCACCGGACCTAGTAGCTCCTGGCAGCGAAGCATCTCTCTTCCTGGTGAGGTCACCAACTCCGGTGAGCTCATCCTGCCCTTGGGTGCTTCGCGACCGCGCTTGCCCTACGAGAAGGTCTTGGTGGCCAGGATGCTCCGACCCAGTCACGGGCACTTGTTCCGACGTCAGGGGCACCGGGTCTCGGGGGATTTCCAAGGTCCCAGAGGATGGGGGGCGTTCCTGAAGATGAAGAAGAATGATTTTGTGAGTGGAGAAGTTGGATGTATCCAGATGATTGATAACAAGAGATGATGATGATGATGATGATGATGATGATGATGATGATGATGATGA